TGCCATTTCTTATAGTGCAAGTCTGTTTGTTACAAATTCTTTTAATTTTCTTTTATCTGAAAATCTCTTTATTTTACCTTCATACTTGAAGGACATTTTTGCCGAATATAGAATTCTGACTTGACAGTTTTTTTCTTTTAGGACATTAAAGGTCTTGTTTCACTCTTCTGGCTCTGTGTTTCCTGATGAGAAGTCATCACAGGAGAGGAAGAACAGAAGAACCAAAACAGAAAAAAATATCATGATAGATGTAGTATCTATAATATCAAAAACTACAATAAACTTCATGGATCACCATTCCAATTAAAAGGCAGAAATTATCAGAATAGATTAAGAAACAAAACCCAACTATATCCTGTTTACAAGAGGTGCATTTTCAATATAAAGACACAGGTTGAAAGTAAATTGATGGAAAAAGATATGCCCTGCAAACAGAAACCATAAGGAGACTGAAGTGGCTGTATTGATATCAGAAGCAAAAGAGATTTCAAAATAGAATGCATTGACAGGGATAAGGAGAGATGCTTCATAATGATGAAATCTAATGGGATGGGAAATTTCACAATTACAGACAGAAAGGGGATCAGTAGTTGCCTAGGGCTGGGGGTAGGGAGAGAGGATCAAATACAAAGGGGCATGAGGAAGCTTTTTATGATAAGGGAGCTGTTCTACTTGTTGGTGATGGTAGTGGTTACATGATTGTAAACAATCACTGATATTTATCTAACTGTATATCTAAAGTTGGTGAATTTCATTTCATGTAAAGACTTTAAGACTTAAAAAAGTAGCAAGGAAGAAGGCAAGATAAAGACACTTTTAGATAAATAAAAACAGAGAAATCATTGCTACTGGTCCTGCAATGAAGTAATTTTAAAGGAAGTCCTCCAGGCTTCAGGGAAATGACACTAGATGATAACTCATATATACAGAAAGTATAACAAATAACAGAAATATACGTGATATTCTGTTTATGTGCATTTTTCTTAATTTCCTTAAAAGACATATGACTGTTGAAAGTAAAAAAGTAATATGCTGTATTATTGGGCTAATAATGTATACTGATGTAATATATATGACAGTAACAGCATAAAGGTGCTTGAATGGAACTATATTGTTGCAGGTTTCCTATATTTTTCTGCATGTAGTTCAGTGTTACCTTAAGTAGATGGTGAAAAGTTAAGATGCAGGTTTCAATTCTTACAACAGCAATAAAAAATTAACAGAAATGTAGCTAAAAAGCCACTAGAAGACATAAAATCATTAACAGAAAGTATTTTCTTAAAACAAAGAAAGGTAGGAAAGGAGGCACAGGAATGAAAAAGAGATGAGACAGTTCAAAAACAAATAGTAAAATGATAGACCCAGATTCTACCAGATCAGCAATCATATTAAATATAAATTGATGAAAATTCAAATCAACGGCTGAGATTATCAGACGGGATAAATATCAAGACAGATTATATGCTGTATATAATGGAAAACTTTAAATACTAAACCAAAAGTAGGTTGAAAGTTAAAAGGAGAAGGAATATGCCATGGAAATAGAAGGCATAAGAAAACTGGAATGTCTGTATTACTATGAAGCAAAATAGGCTTGAAGAGGAGTATTGCTCGAGACATAGAAGGACTTTATAATGATGATAGGCCAGTATCACAAGAAGGCAAAAGTAATAAATGTATAAATACCTAACTATAGAGCTCCACAATAGAGGAAACATAAAGTGGCAGAACTGAAAAAGAAATAGACAAATTAACAATTATATTTACAGATCAGTACTCCTATCTCATTAATAGAACAAGTAAACAAAATCTAGTAAGGATATAGAAGACTTAAATATTGTGACCCATCTTGACCTAATTCACATGTTTTGAATATCATATCCAGCAAGAAGATAATAGACATTTTTTCAAGTGTATGTGGAACATTCACAAAAATTGACTATATTCAGACCCTAAAACAAGTCTCATTAAATTTAAAGGGATTGAAATTATAGAGTATATTCTCTGACTACAAGGACATTACATTAGAAATCCATAACATGATATCTGGAAAATCTCCAAATATTTGGAAATTAATCAACAAACTTCAAACCCATGGGTTACCATGGCTTAAAGAAGAAATCAGAACGGAAATTAGGATTCTACCTCAGCTTTCTCCTCCCTCTCCCAACTTCCCTCCACTCACACACTGTTATGAGAGGTTCGGGGATTCGATCAGAGACGTAAAGAAACTTTCCACTCCAAACAAATGGACTGAAGGTATATTTTATTATTGTCTTGACATGAGTACAGCCATGTTTGGCCGCTCCATTGACCTACAGCCACCAGCACAAAAAA